GCTGTATTCTCTATCCCCTCGCTGAGAGCTCGTCCCGGAGCGAGAAGGAAAAGAGACTTACTGTATGTAGAGAAAACGAGGGTGAAGAAGATCAGACGTCCCAGCGCGACTTCCGGGAGACCGTCCGGACGGAGGTCGAAATCGCCTTTGTGGTGACGACCGAAGTGGTCGTAGACGACCTTTCCAGAGGGGTCGTCCGTGATCCATCCTGTGCCAATTTTTGCTTCCCCGAGGAGGGGCGCAAAGCTCCCTTCTTCCCTTTGCCCCCGCGTCTGTTCGCGGGGCGCTTTCCCTTGGGCAGCTTGAACTCGGCCCCGATGGTGACCGTGGGGACAGAAGATACGGCGGCCGCCTTCGCCTGCGCCTCTTCGCGCGCTTTGGTGAAATCTGCCTGCCACTTAGCGGCCTGGACCGCCTCCATTGCCTCCGCAATTTGCGCCTGAATCCCCTCCATGCAATCCAAGTCCTCCGTCCGCCCCAGGCAGATGTTATTGGGGTCCGCACAGTGGGCCCCCCAGGTCGACTCCACGAGCCGGAGCTTTGCGAGTCGGCGCTAAGCGGCTATGTAGAGAAGCTCTGCTCCAAGCGCTGAGGCATCTGCAGGGGGTTGATCGAACCGGGAGCGTTTGGGTTCCACGCTCTCATCTGGGGAAGGGGACCGATCTCGAACTCGGGATCGAGGAGCGAGCGTCAGAGAAGAGAAGCCCTCTAGGTGGCTGCTCAGCTCGATGGCTTCCCGCTCCTCCGTTTTTGCGGCCAAAGCCAGCAGTCGATCCCCCGGGTTAGACTCGGTCGGCCCGGTAGGGGGAGAAGGGTTGGGAGTGCCCAGCCGACCCTGTAGATTGGGCCGGTTGGTTGGTCCGAGGCAATCTGCGATCGGCACCCGCTCCTCCTGCACTGGGACAGTTAGCCGCTCCGAGATGGGACGGCGCTCGGGGGTCCGTACCGGGCTGCCCAGACGCTGATGCACCGGGCGCCTGTCCGCACTGGGGGGAGGTCTGACCGCGGGGATGACGTCAGCTTGAGCCGACCGGGGGAGCTTCGGGGAAGGCTCCGGAGTGGGCTCGAAGTCGACCTCCTCCTCTGTGAAGTAGTCGAAGAAATCATCTGGGTCGCACCCGTTCTTCAAGGGGCGAGGGAATGCCACGTGGCCGTTGGGCGGGGTTTCCCCCGTGGCGCGCCCGACCGGGGCATCGCCGCCGTGGTGGGCTCCTGCAGGGCGCTTTCAACGGAGCGGGCGCGCCCAGAGGAGGGCGAAGGCGACTGCAAGCGAGCTCGATGAAGTCGTATAGGCGCGTCGGGGAGAGGGGGATCCCCCGGCTCCATAGCGGCCGCGAGGACTGCGGCTCCGACTGTCGGTCCTGCGCCTTGGCGCCGGAGAGCGGCCGCGAGGCAGAACATCTGGGGAGGGGAAAAGCTCTTTCTTTCTTCCCCCGAGCGGCGCTTGTGCCTGCGTCGGTCCACCTCCTGCTTCCGGACCTGTCCCTTGACCTCCGGTTCT